CCCACTATAAAAGGAAGCTACGGATTATTACAGAGAAAAGCACTCAGCCCAGCTGGGTCCTATAGCAACCTTCTAACTTTATTTCATGAAGACAATTTTATTATTTCTGAAGTCGATGCATCGATCCTTGCCATGAGATGGCGGTATGAGGAGCTGGGTAGAAACCATCTGTGGACCACCTTCAGGAAAGATCAGAGTGCCAGTATCAATGCACCTAGATTTGATAAGCTATGATTGTACCAAAAAGGAAGAACACTACATGCTAGCTTCAAGCAGTAAATATTGTTTTTTTCCCATTTTTTTATTGGTGCACTATATGTGTACTAATGGTGGGATTCGTTGTTACACATATTCATATGTGCACACAATATAACAATATATAATTATGCTAAAAAGTATTTTTAATGCCTGAACATCCAAGTAATAGATTTATTGGACCTTCAGCACATGACTAATCGCTTAATGGAAATACATCTTATTTTTGCAGATTACTGTAATAAACAAAGTTTACTTTTTTCAAGTATGCTGCAATACTTTTTCAAGTATTCTAGAAGCAAGGGAAATAACTACTTGAATAAAATAACTACTTGTAACTGAAAATATACATCTAAGGTGTCCAAACCCCTTGTCTTTTAAATTCTTGATCCTTAAACTGGAGCATCTCTATCAACTTTTGTTGTCTTTTTGTTTCTCCTCAATTTTGTGTTTGAAAGTCAAGGGAGGGGCTGGGCTTGTGGTTCAGTGGTAAAACGCTCCCTTAGTACACATGAGACACTGGGTTTGATCCTCAGCACCACATTATACATACATACATACATACATGCACACACACACACACACACACAAACATACATATACATATATATATATTTTTAAAAGCAAGGGAAATAATTCAGGAAATAAACTTATTCATCAAAGCTTTAAGAAACTGCACATACTATTCTACTGCAGTAGTGTGCTGTCAATCCTACAAATTTATAAACTCAAGATTTACATCTCCTGTGAATTCAGCTAGGACTTTATTCTCAAAGGAAAACACACACCCAGTATATACTCTCTTATTCCCAAGTTGTTTCCACTTTAATTGTCCCAACACTGTAGCATAGTCACTCAAACCTGTGTTATTTCTTACATCTATATGCTGTAACTGTTAGCGGTTTTATCACCTCTTTGACAGTGACAGAGTCACTACAAATAGATTTAACATGGATTAACCAACTCTTAAGACAAAAATTTGGCTATTTTGCCTTCACCAGGTTGACATTTTCCCAAGGTAGTGTTGTAAAAATTCAAGGAACTCATAAAACAACATGAGAGAAAAAATATATATAATTGGGCCAATTATCACTCCCCTGCACTTACTCCCTCCCTTGGTCACTTTATTCTATTCATCTCTCTTGGACTGTCATGAAATTCCCTCCCCTCACCTTTCTTCCCTCTTTAGTTTCCACGAAAGAAAACTTGCCACCCCTGACCTTGTGAGTTTGGCTTATTTCACTCAACATAATGTTCTCAAGTTCCATCCATTTTCCTGAAATTTACATAATTTCATTTTTCTTTATGGCTGAATAAAACTCCATTGTGTTTATATATCACATTTCTTTATCCAATCATTTGCTGATGGACACCTGGGCTGCTTCCATACTTTGGCTACTGTGAATGGTGCTGCTTTAAACATGGGTAATGCATGTACCACTGTAGTGTGACAACTTAATTCTTCAGGATAAATACTGAGGAGTAGTATAGCTGGGTCATATGGTAGTTCCACGCCTACTCTTTTCAGGAACCTCCATACTGATTTCCATTGTGGTTGAACTAATTTGCAATCCCACCAAAAGTGTGAAAATGTTATTTTTCTTTATATCCTCTCCAGCATTTATTATAAAATCAAAGATTAAGAAAATTAAGTAAATGGAATCAGGCAATATATAAAAACAATAATATGCTGAAGCATATTATTGAGATTTATTCCAACAAAGATCATGCAAAACCAGAAAGATCTATCAAGACAGCAATTATAATATTGCATTAACATCTTGCAGAGAAAAAAAATCACACAGCATTTAATCTGGTTCTGTAATAGCACGTGCACTGGCACAGCACCACCTGGCTTGCACAGCCAGCCAGGGCCATGCTGGTGCACATCCTGGACACCAGCCACCCAGTGAAGATCATTTCTCAGAACCAAGAGCCACTTTCACATTGTATGTGGCAATCCTGAAGCTATTCATCAAAATGGGAGAAACAGGATGCCTGCTATCCCCTACTACCTGGGCTTAACTGGTCCTGGTCAGTGTTAAGATAAAATTAGAATACATCCAACCACCCACCCACTTGTGCTCACCTGTACTGGTATAAATGCTAGGAGAGAGAGAGGAGTGCTGACACACTGTGATCCCAGCTATTTGGGAGGCTAGGGCAAGAGGATTGTAACTTTGCAGCCAGCCTGGGTAACTAACTCAGTGAGATACTCTCAAAACAAAACAAAATAGAGGACTGGGGATGTAGCTTAATGGTAGAGCACTTGCTTAGCATGTGAAAAGCCCCGCATGAAATTCCCAGTACTGGGGCAGGGAGGGGAAGGAAACAGAGATAAAAGACCTGATTAGTTACTTTTGACAGGGCTCTAAGAGCTATATAAGCAGATTCTAGTAAAGACTTACTTAAATTAATAAGAAAATTTGGTATGGTGATGGCAAAAGAAAACATTTAAAAACCAATTGTTTTTAGGAATTTAACGAGAATCAAAATAAATCAAAATGACAAAAATAAATCCAGTCACAAGAGTGACAAAAATTACAAAGTATTTAAAAATAAATTTAATGAAAAGGTGAAGGCTTACAAGAAGCCCAAAACATAGCAGAAAACAAGACCCACAAAAATGGGTCTTCTTCCAGAAGGAGAAAGTTATAAAAAATATCATTCTTATCCAAATTAATAGAGAACTTTAAGATAATGCCAATAAATTCTGATGTTTTCTGAACCAGACAGTATTACTGATGTTCTAGAATACCAGAGAAAGAATTATCAAACAAGCTCGATGAGGTTTTTTTTTTTTTTTGGGGGGGGGGAGGGGGTACTGGGGATTGAACTCAGGAGCACTCAACCACTGAGCCACATCCCCAGCTATATTTTGTATTTTATTTAGAGACAGCATTCAACTGAGTTGCTTAGTACCTCAATTTGCTGAGGCTGGCTTTGAACTTGTGATCCTCCTGTCTCAGCCTCCCGAGCTGCTGGGATTACAGGCGTGTGACACCATGCGTGGCTTCCTGTGAGGTCTTGATCAGTGTGAAATGCTCCTAGACATGGATAGACCATGTAGAGTTTACACTTTTGCAGAACAATGAAAATTTAGGTGTCAGTGGAAGAATACTGTGTGACAGGTATAATCAGAAAAGAAAGAAATGGGGGTTGAAAGCAGCACAGAGAGGCAGAGTGATGGCTGGAAAAAGAGGCATGTACACAGACTCCCTGGAAGATGTGAAGGAAGACCAGAAGAACACTCAAGCCTACACTGGTGCCTGCCCAGGCTCTGACCTGTGTGTGAAAGGGGCACAGCTCAGACCCAATGTGCCAGCTGGGATAGGACTAGCGCAGGGCTTGGTGCTTGAAGGGTCAGTAATAGCTATGCCCAGCCTTTTCATCCCAGACATCCAAGTCATTCTGACCCTGGGCCTACTGAGAGCATCGAAGGGAGGAGTATCATGCACACATCCCTTCTTTTTGCTAAGTCACCACTGTTGAGTGCCAGAGAGGGGTTTTGTTTTGTTTAATGCTGCACCCCCAGGATCTAGAACAGGCCTGCTTCCCTAAGTGTCCAGCTGAATGGGAACAAGTAGCACCAGAAAGGCATGGACTGTTTGGGAGGGGGAAGAATCATCAAAAATGATGTAGTGACCTTATTATCAAATCACAAAGCTAAAGTGAATAAGCCAAACACAGGCTCTGCAGAATGCAGTGAGTGGAGAACCTGGATTTCTAGCAAGCAAATGACAGGAAATTCATGCATAAATCTTCCATCCCTCCATCTATCCATCCAACCACCCACCCACTTCCATCCCTCCAACTATCCATCCAACCACCCACCCACTCATGTGCTCACCTGTCCATGTACCCATTTCCCCTCAATCCCTGAACATTTGCATGGAGCTCCTGCTGTGCCCCATGGTGTGAAAGTGCTAGGAATACAGTTATAAAGGAGACAACCTTCCAGCCCAGTGAAGATTAACTGTAAAAGGCCCAGTAATAGAATTTAAGATACGAAAAACACCCAGTGTTTTTTTTTTTAATTTAATGTACCAGCTTTTATATTGGCAAATATAGAGGTTTTCAGAGGTTCACATTTTTTTCTTTAGGGTCCTTACCCCATTTCCTTGATAAGATTTTCAAAATCTCAACCTCAAAATCTGAAAGAAACTTTTAGGAATTGCACTTTCAAATGGACAGAGGCAGCTGCGCCATTTGGGGGAAAATTTCAAGTGAACTGCAATTTCCCCTGACTGATCCCATGAGGAGCCCTGGTTGGAGGTGATCTCCAAATGATTCATAACAAAGCAAGTCCATGGAGTACCACAGCTACTTCTTCATTTCTTTAATACTAGAAGAATGAAGAGGTTCTACTGTAACTTTTACAACTACTCTACTTGTAGAAACTCCTTTCTGAACTGCTACAGTTCAAAGACTAATAAAAGGGAATAATTTGCAAGAAAAATTGGCTAGCCTACTTGAAACTACTATGAAAAGATGTGAAACTTTTCCTCTTAGTGTAGAATACTTATAATACATTAGTTATTGGATTGGTATCTTAATAGCTCTGAAACTTAAAATGTTAGTTGAGTAAATAAATCAATGGCATTCCATTTAAGAAAAAACTCAAGTGAGAAGATGATGCCGAGAAATATAAACACAGTGAAGGAATAAGAAGCAGCAACTATCAAAACATTATTTCTTCCCCAAGTATTGAAACATTTAATTTTTAAAAGACAAATAAAAATTACCTTTTAAAGATGGTAGTTTTTGCAGTTCTCTATTATTGCTGGCACTAAACCGTGAAGAATTCTGCCGCTTGTCTTTTTTCACAATGGGCTGAGGGGCTGGTACCTTTATTTTAGAAGATGTTGAAGACTGGACAGCCACAAGGCTGTTCTTCCTGCTGGAAATCTGCTTTCCAAATAAAAACAGAACATGTAAAACAGCTGTGCTTATGGGACAAACGAAATATAGAAAAAACACACACCCCTCAAGTCTTGCTCTGGGACAATGTTCTCTGCTCTGCTGCAGGCGATTCCCTGGAGCTGCTGGAGGGCAAGGCTCACATCCCACCTCCAGTAATGCTGGACTTCAGAGGCTCACAAGATACCTCACTCCTTTCTCTCTCTCCTTCCTTCCTCCTTTTCTTTCTCATTGTGTCTCTTTTTTTAAAAACAGTACTGGGCATGGAACCCATGGGTACTCTACCACTGAGCTACACCCCCAGCTGTTTTCTAAACTTTCTATTTTGAGACAGGGTCTCACTAAAGAACTTGAAATCCTCCTGCCCCAGCCTCCTGAGTAGCTGGGATCACAGGCCTGCACCACCATTTCAGGCTCCAGGAGGGAGGCAGGTGGTTCAGACAGAGGAGGCAGAGGGTTGGAAGGGCAATGGAAGGTGGAAGCAGAAGTCAGAGTCAGAGAGAGCTGAAGACCAAAGAGGGACCACAAGCCCCTATACAGGCGGCCTCTAGAACCCGGAAAGGTCCAGAAGGCAGGTCTTCCTCTGAAGTCTTCAGAAGCAGCAGAGCCATGCCCTTCACCCTTTCAGACTTTGGATCTCCAAAACTGTAAGATGCTAAGTTTTGTGCTCCCATAAGCCATTTTGTTCATGGCCATGTGTAACAGAAGCAACAGGAAGTGAACTCAGTCTAGCACCTCCTAAGAGAAAAGGTTTCCCTGCTGGCCCCTTCACTAGGCTGCAGAAAGGCGCTCCCCTGAACCTAGAACTTTTCTTCCTCCTGGCTTTTCTCCTGTGTGCCTATCTCTAGGCTCCTACTCTCCCACTTATCTCCAGATGGCATCACAACTATAAGAGCCATCCCACTCACGAGGCTGGCCTGTAACACACCAGTGAAATACTGGGGCAGAGTAGAGGAGAATCAGAGGGAACATGCAGCAGAGCCACCAGGGAGCTTGTCATCCACAAAGGCCTAAAGGGATGTGCTCTCCACTGTGACCCCATGAAGATCATCTGGGCCTTGGGTCCCCCATCAGGAGGGCTCTCTGGGCAATGACCAGCTGGGATAGTTTGTTACCACCAGCACCCAGCAGTTCGTTGCCTGTAGGATTGACACAAACATATCCGCTGTGCCCCATCTGTCTGCCCAAAGCAGTGGAGCTCATTTCTGCCCAGATGCACTTTGCAAAGGCCATGAGGCTCTGACCTAGAGCCAACAACCACCCAACCCATTCCCCAGCTGTACAGGGCCTAAGGGAGCAGGAATGTAACTGAGCCCTGAACAAACCTGTTCTCATTTTTTTAAAAAATATTTTATTTTTAAATTATAGTTGGACATAATACCTAATTTTTATTAATTTACTTTTATGTGGTGTGGAGGATCGAACCCAGGGTCTCACACATGCTAGGCGAGCACTCTATCGCTGAATCACAACCCCAACCCCAAATCTGTTCTCATTTTTGAAAAAAAAAATTTTCACTAAGCAGTAAGAGCTGCTTTATTTTTCAATAATTTACCTAAGAAAAATTGAAAAGAGTTTTCCAAGATGAGACTGCCCAAAACACAGCAGACAGAATTCTGAACTGGGAGTTCAGGCCTAAGTTACCTTCTCTCACACAGCCTGTTCCCTGGTCAAAATGTACTTTCTTGGCTTTGATCTTGACATCTGCTATGGTGTGAATATAGTTTATGTTCCCCTCAAAGGTTCATATCATGGGAACTTGGTCTCCAAGATGGTGGTGCCGGGAGGTGCTGTGGATCTTTAAAAGGCAGGGCCTACTGGGAGGCCCATGCATCACTGGGAGTGTGCCCTCAGGAGTGACTGTGGGACACTAATCTCTCTCTGCTCTGGATCTGAAATGGGACTGCTGGCTTGGATACACTCCCACCATTACCATCTGCCCTTTGGTCCTCACCAGAACCGAGCTGATGCAGGTGCTATGCCTTTGAGCCTCCAAGTCTGGGAGCAAATTAAACCTCTTTTTCTTTGTAAAGATCCTATATCTTGCATTTCATTATAGTGATGAAGGCCAACTAATACACCATCTATCATTCTTTCTGTCAGATTATGAAAGAATACATATACTGTTCTTAAAAACACCACCTATAACCCACGTCCTCCTCGGAATTCCCCTAGGTAAAACTTAACTGCTCAACTTTCTTGGGATGCCCCTAGAAAAACCTCTAGCATTTACTCCAAAGTCACAGAGATACTTCCAGGACCTGTCCTTGTTTTAAATGGCAAGCTACATATATGTGTTCCAAGAGATCATAAATTTTATTTTTATTTTTATTTTTCCATAATGCCCAATCCAGTGCTATACACATAATGACCTTGATAAACAATAGGTAGAAAATAGATAAACACAGTTCCATAGCTGCTTCTACCCCAACAGGATAATAAACTGGGCATCTCATGTGGCCACTCTTGTAAGACTACAACCTGGTGATCTGGCTAACTTATAAATCAGAAGCAAAACAAATCCATAGGAAATGAAGCTCCTCACAGGGAACCGGTTGAGATAAGGTTTCTAACGTCTGTGGAAATAAAAAATCACTCAGACTCCATCCCACTGGTTCCTCTCCCCTGAACCCTACCATACTCTCCCCACCCAGCCCCCTCCAGAGCCTTCTCTCAGGAGGCAACAGAGTGAACTTCCGGAAAAGAAAATCTGCTCCCATACTCTAAGCTTAACCCACTGTGGCAGCTCCCAGGTCTTCTGGCCTCAGGGAAATTACCTTCCTCTGCCCAGCCATGTCCTACCACCATGTTTCTGTCCTCTTGCCAAGTGACTACTCTGGTTCCTTCAGGCCCCACCCTCCACCATGTTTAGACTCATTCTTCATGGGGCCCACATGGCACTGTCGGCTCCTGTGTCATGTCACACGGTGGACCCATCATCCCTAGCATGTGGTACTTTTACTCTCCTCTGGCAGCAATGAGATAGACACCTTTCTCCCTGACCAGGTCCATGAGTCCAGGAGGGCAGGGCCTGTCTGTCAGTTCTTTGGAGGACTTGGGACCCACCAAGCCAAAGAGGGCCCCCCCCCCGAGGAAAGGAGCTCTGGGGTCCCCCAAAGGCTCAGCATGGTGGCAAGCCAAAGCTAAGAGAGAAAGACAAGCACACACAGGCCTCAGAGGTGCAGTGAGTGTGCAGTCTCAAGTCCCTTGTGGCAACTCCGGCTCTCATACGTGAGGAGCCAAGGTACTTCTCCCTACTTCTTCCAGAACCAATTATATTTTATTTTCCTCATTAACAAATCAGCAGCAGGATTTCTCTTTGCTTACTTTCTTGGTTGCTGGCTGTCCTACCCTGCTCCAGAGACAGCAAGATCTCTTCTGCCTCCCTTGCACCCATGTCCCAGTGTCCAGGGCAGTGCTACCTGCCACCCAGGTAGCACTCAGGAAATCTCGTCTGGGCTGGAGATGTAAATTTGGAAGTCAACAGTCCCTAACTGGTTCCTGAAGTCTTGGGCATGAACACCCCAGACAGAGGATGACAAGGGAGAAAAGAGGCAAGAGACAGCCTGGGGCTGAGGAGTTCATGGCCAGCTGCAAGGCAGGAAGAACCCTGGGGGCGTGGTCTCCTGAAGAAGGCAGAGAGAGCCTTTCAGGATGGATGGATTTCAATGCCTTGAAATGGCCAAGCGCCTACCAGATTCAGCAGCACAGAGACTGTGGCAGACAGAGATCGGTTTCCTGGAGTGGGGCTGGGAGAAGCAACTACAACTGAGGACAAGGCAGAATCCATGAGGATTAGCAATATTTCTGAAAGAACTGGTTGGAAAGAAAAGAGGAGTTAGGGCACTGGAAGAAGCAGAGGGTTGGGGAGAAAGCCTCCAAGAATTTAGGGTGAGAAAGGCTGGTGTACCTGGATGCTGGGGGGGATGGGGCCCCAGGAAGGAGTTGCAGCTGAGAGAAGGGCTATGCAGGGAAGACCTGGACCTGGGTCTGCAGGAATAACAGGGCAGGAGAGGAAAAGGATGGTATGAGGTACAGACACCTGCCAGTCTGATGATTTTGTATAGGGAGGGGCAGAGGGAGAGAGGGAAAAAAAGAACCATATGAAGCCATCTGCCTACAGTTACTGTAAAGAGGTGGAGGGAGGAGACTGAGTGAGTGAAAAGGTCAGAGGGGATCACCTGGTGGAGGACAAAGGGCAAGGTGCCTGGAGAAGTGAGTAGCTATGAGCAAGCAGCCCATCAGGTCAACACACTAGCAAGGGCCAGTGCCCCAAGGGAGCACTATGCACACAGAGTCCTCCTAATTACCATGCAAATATCTGTCCAGTGCACGTCTGTGCTGGACCCTGGGAGTGACACAGTTGTGGCCCTGTTTGGTGATGCCATAACCTGGAGGGAAGTGGGGCCAGGGCAGACTCCTGGGAGCAGCTCTTCCAGAACAGCACACAATCTGCAGGCACTCCCATGCCCTGCAGTGTCCTTATTTCACAGACAAGGAAAATGAGATGCAGAGTATGGGGTGATCACCAGCGGCACACAGTACATGGTATCACCACACTTGGACCCTGCTCCATCAATGGACTTTGTGTCCCAGGGTGAGCCCAGCACTGCCTCATCACCTGCCACTGACACCACACACTGGAGAACAATTCTGCTCTGCAGTCTCAAAATTCTCCCCTTCTGCAATTTGATAACGGATTGACCCAACTACCATCACTATAAGCCAGAGACTATATGATATCCTGTGACAGCCATTTAAGAAGTGTTTTCCAGCCAGAATCTGATCAAGCCTTTATGGAATGGAAAAGGGAAGACGCTGACCAGCACAGGGGTCCACTCTGCAGAGCGTGGCATGGGGAGTGGTGGCAGGCTCTCCACTGCAGCTGCTAACATCTGGCCAGGAAATCCTTTGTTATTTGGGCTGCAGTCTGCACTGTATGAGGTTTACATTGTCCTGGCCCCTGCCCACAAGAAGCAAGCAGCCCCTGC